TGAATGTGTTAAAATGTTTTTCAAATTTGGATATAAATTCTAATAAGATTGTGATATCCCACATTAGTTGGAACGAAACATTCTTTATAAGGGTGTGGAAACCTCTCTATGTTAGACGCGTTTTAAAAATCTTGAGGGGAACCCCGAAAGGGAAAACCCAAAGAAGACAATATCTACTAGAGGTGAGCTTGGGCTGTTACAAATGGTATCAGAGCCGGACACCGAGAGATGTGTCAATGAGTAGGTTGAACCCCGAAGGGGGGTGGACACGATGCGATGTGGCAGCAAAGACGTTGGGCCTCGAAAGGGGGTGGATTATGATATCCCACATCAATTGGGGAAGAGAACGAACCATTCTTTATAAGAGTGTGGAAACTCTCCCTAACAAACTCGTTTTAAAAACCTTAAAGGGAAGCCTGAAAGGGAAAACTTAAAAATGACAATATCTACTGGGATTGGGCGGTTACAAATGTATTAGAGCAAGGCTTCGGGCAATATGCCAATGAGGAGGTTGAGCCCTGAAGGGGGTGGACACAAGATGGTGTGCTAGTAAGAACGTTGGGTCTCGAAAGGGGGTGGACTGGGGAGTCCCACGTCGATCGGAGAAGGAAACGAGTGTCAGCGAGGACAAGGGCCCAGAAGGGGGGTGAACTATGATATCAGACATGGAGGAGAACGAAACATTTTTTATAAGTGTGTGGAAACCTCACCCTATCATACGCGTTCTAAAAACTTTGAGAGGAAGCCCGAAAGAAAAAGTCGTCCAAAGAGGACAATAGCTGCTAGCGTTAGACTTGAACGGTTTAAGGAGTGGTCTAGGTTACATTTAGTGAGATTAGACCTAAAACTCGATCCAACCAATTTTGATTATTTTTGACGGTCAAAAATGACTTCTTGCAGAAAACAATGAGTAATCCAGCCACAATATCAAGGGCTTTGAAGTATATTCCAGAGCTAAGACAGCAGGTGGAGGAGCTAAGGAGAAGGAAGCAAGGGCTTGAGACAAAGATTAATGCCATAACTCATGACCAACAAAAGCAAGTGAGGAAAAACAAGGATGCCCCATGGATGGGTTGTTCTTCATGTGCTGTGAATTGGCTAAGAGAAAATGAAGCATTGCTTCAACTAACTTCTAATGATACCCTCAAACTCAAATTTTCACAAATTCTCCATTCTCTAGACGAAGATGAACTTCTCGTTAAGACCGTTTCTACCTTTCGGTTGTTCGATGGGAGGCACTTCTTTACTTTGCTCGTTCAGGTATAATATAATATTTTTTCCATACAAATGTTCGTAGGTTGGACCGGGTCGGGTCGGATTATAATATTTCTCCGACCCATTCTAATTATTTGGGTTGTGAATTTGTGAGATCTCACGTTAGTTGAAGAGGGAAATAAAGCATTCTTTACGAGGTGTGGAAACATCTCCCTAATAGATCCGATTTAAAACAATGAGAAAACCCTAATACATATATACATGTATGTTAATATTTTTCTTTTCTCGGGTTCGTAATAACTAAAAGTATTTAGAAAATGGAGATATTGTATTTGTTTATTTAAATTTTTAACCCTTAATGAAATATGCATCATATAATTTTATTTTATTTTATTTTTAATGCAGGCTAAGCCAAATACTCCCTCGAGAGTGCTGCAAGAGATTTTGAATAAAATGTTCTAGCCATTGTAGGAAGAAGAAAAGAGAGAATGGATATAATATTATATGCATGATTATTATTATTATACCATCTAATAAAATAGATTATAGAGGCAAAGATGTTTTTCTTTTTTTAAATTGTAATATGTAACATTAATTATATTTATCTCTAACCTTATTTGAAATAATTATTCAACCTAATGAATTAAGGATTCAAATGTGCATAGGGGTCGATGAAAAACGATCTCGAGGATCAGGATTCTTAGTTTTCAAATTAACAAACGTCCAAAAAAAGAAAAGTGGTGTTCTTGATAACATGACAATAAAACTATGTCCTCAAATGGTCTCGTCATCTGTACATGAGGCTCTTGCTTTTATCTGAAAAAATGAAAGTGTGAGATTTTACATTGGTTGGAGAGGGGAACGGTTATCAATTGCAAGACAAGAAAGAGTACAAAGAAAGTCATATGTTACGCATAGCAAATAACACACAGTTATCAATTGCTCAAATCGGCAATACGACAATCAAGTGTGTATTTGTTGGATATGACAATCAAAGAAAAGGATGGAGGTGCTGTGATCCAACAAGTGGAAAATACTATACATCAAGAGATGTAGTTTTCGATGAAGCATCTTCATAGTGGTCCTCGGAGAAGAAAGTCTTACCAGATTCAAACATCAAAGAAATTCTACAATAGAAGATGGGGGAGCAAACTACACAAATTTAATCAAATGTTGATGCACCTGAAAATCCAAGTGACATTGATATTGACAAGCAAGAGGTGACTCAATCAAGTGAATCTGATAAAAATGAAATGACACATCAACAACTTAGGCGATGAAATAGAATCCGAAAGCAAAATCCTAAGTATGCAAATGCAGCTATTGTAGAAGATAGAGTTTACGAACCAGAGACATATGAAGAAGCATCACAAAACTCGATTTGGCAGAAAACGATGGAGGAAGAAATTATAGCCCTGGAGCATAATCAAACTTGGGAGCTAGTGCCAAGACTAGGAGATGTCAAACCCATCTCTTGCAAGTGGGTCTACAAAATAAAGCGTCGACCGAATGGATCAATCGAGAGATACAAGGCTCAACTCGTGGCTCGAGGATTTTCTCAACAATATGGACTAGACTATGATGAAACATTCAGTCCAGTGGCAAAGATTACTACAATACGAGTCCTGCTAGCACTCGCAGCAAGTAAAGATTGGAAACTATGGCAAATGGATGTGAAGAATGCCTTCTTGTACGGAGAGTTAGACAGGGAGATTTATATGAACCAACCAAAAGGATTTGAGAGCGCAGCTAATCCTAATTATGTATGCAAGCTTAGAAAAGCTCTTTATGGACTGAAGCAAGCACTGAGAGCTTGGTATGGTAAGATTGCTGAATTTCTTAGCCAAAGTGGTTATTCAGTTGTGCATGCAGACTCAAGCCTATTCATCAAAGAAAGAGAAGAAAATTTGACAATTGTGTTGGTCTACGTGGACGATTTGATTATCACCGGGGACGACGAAAGAGAAATTTATCAAACAAGAGAAAATTTATCAGTACGCTTTCAGATGAAAGAGCTAGGAGAGCTTAAACACTTCTTAGGCCTAGAAGTTGATCGCACAAATAAAGGATTGTTTCTCTGCCAACAAAAGTATACAAGAGATGGGCTTTAGAAGTTCAACATGTTAGAGTGCAAGCAAGTTTCAACACTGATGGAGATAAATGCCAAGCTTTGTGCACATGAAGGCAAAGAGTTGAACGATGAAACAACATACCGACAACTAGTAGGTAGTCTTATCTACCTAACTTTAACTCGGCCTGATATCTCTTATGCAGTTGGGGTTATGAGTCGATACATGCAAAGTCCAAAGAAGCCTCTTCTGGATGCAGCTCGACGAATCTTGAGATATGTCAAAGGTACAATCGACTATGGTCTTTTGTACAAAAAAAGCAAAGACTGCAAGCTAGTTGGATACTGTGATGCTGACTATACAAGAGACCACGATACTCGGAGGTCAACCACTGGGTATGTGTTCAAGTTTGGTTCGGGAACAAGTTTGATTATTTTTATTTGGTTGTTTGAGGTTTTGATTCTATTATTGATTATGTTAAAACTATGGTAAATGGTTCTCCCGATTATTTCTCTTGGGTTGTTTTGGGTTTTAATTCTATTATTGTTGCAAACTGTGAAAACTGGTGGTAAAAAGATAATGTACAAGCTTTTTTTGTGTGTTCTATGTTTAAATAATTGTGCAAGATCATCTTTGTGTAGATCGAACACGAGTTGTTGTTGTTGTTGTTTATTTATCTTTGAGCAATATACTTAAATCTTTGAGCAATATACTTAAAACTTGGTGATATGAACCAAAAGACATCAATCATACAATATACTTCAATGAAGATGTGAAGAAAAGGTTGTCAAAATTATCAAAAGATGTTTCAATTCATATCACATTGAAGAATAATGAAGTTTGATTGTTATAAATTTTGGGTGGGTTACAATTTAGAGTTATTGTATTTCATTTATGTATTTTAAGACTTTATTTACTATAGGTTACAATTACATAATGGTTAATTATGGCCATTAAGTATCAATGTTACAACTCTTGGAATGACTTTAGTAGTTTCATTTTGAGGCTATATAAAGCCATGTATGTTGTATGTGTAAGGGACTTGGAAAAATATAGTAAAAAGAAGCATTTGTGCTCTTCTTTAGCCAATGGCTAAGTTTCTTTGCAATTCTATGTAGTTTAGGTTGCATGTAGAATCATTCAAGCTCGACATGATCAATCTTGCTTGTGGAGTGATTCGAATCTCATGGAAGTGTTCTTGCCTTGAGATATTTGATCAACAAGAATCATTCAAGCTAGACATGATCGATCTTGCTTGTGGAGTGATTCGAATCTCAAACAATGTTCTTGCCTTGAGATATTCGATCAACAAGATAATCCGAATCTTACTCCCCTTGTAGTGGTTCCTTTTCTTAAAACTTGGTTTCTTATGTGCTCTCATATTTAACTCCTAGTGACTTATCGATACAAAATTTTGTACTTCGATTATGTTTTTGTTTAGCATTTTAGGTGAAATGGCTTAACAAGCTATCAACAAAATGTGGCCATTTGTTGCCGTTGTAAGTTTCTATGCCATGTTTGCTATGTTAAACTCTATTTACAAATATTCTCCTTGTGCTCAATGGAGTGACCGGGTCATGTGAATATATCGCCTGCCATCTTTGTATTATTGATTTTTTACTTAGTTATTCAACTAATAATGTACATTCAATTTAGGTGTGTCTAAAGATGAGGCCATGATAAAGGTCCCGAGACGTTGAAAATCATTTAAAAGAAATGTTATCCAATAACTATAATAATTATAAGTGAATAAATAATTTTATTATGTCATAAATTTAAAGTTATAAATACTATATTATACCTTATAGGTTAATGATAGCATGATATTTTAGCTATATTAAATATATTATAGCTTTAATAAAATGTTATAGCAACGTATATAAGCTATAATTTCATACTTTATTATAGTATCTATTATAGCTATAAAAAAAAACACTATAAAAAGTCTACGATAACAGTTTTCGTAAGCTATGCATCTATTATTTCTTGTAGTGTCTCGAACGTGGCCAAGAAACTTAGACATAATGCTAGTGAGTGCGATCGTCGGAAGATCAACTCTCTCTACTCGTCTCTCCGCTCCCTTCTTCCCTCCACCGACCATATGGTATGGCTTCTCGTAAGAGTATGGACTAAAGATTATTAGTATTTCGTAAATTCAAACTTACAACATTCGTAGCATTTGTAGGTTGGATTAGATGAAGTTGGAATATTTTTAGAATTAACTTTTAAATTTTTTCAAACCAAACCGTACTTATTAAATTATGAACCCAATCTAACAGGATCATAAACTTTTGGATTGAATTCGTTTGGGTCGTTCAACTCATTTATTTAATTTTTTTTAAATAAAAAAAAATTATAAATATACTTTTTATCGTTGAACTAGATACGTGCTCGTATGATAATTTACTGAATTTTGGTTAACTGTATTTTATTTTTCAGAAGAAATTGAGCAACCCGGCGACGATCTCGAGGATATTGAGCTACATACCGGAGCTACAGCAGCAGGTGGAGGGGCTGATGAAGAAGAAAGAAGAACTCATGACAGCCATAGTTGGACAGGAAGTTCATAGTGACGAGGAGAAAAGGAAGAAATGTGCAGCTACAAGCTCCTCCTCAATCATTTCAGCAAGTCGACTCGGTCGTCGGGAAATGGCGGTTCAGATATGCACCGATATCGACGGCGGCCACCGGAATTCCTTGTCGGAGCTTTTGGTTTGCTTGGAGGAAGATGGTCTTCTTCCTTGGAATGCTTCTTCTTTTGAGTCTTTTGATGGGAAGGATTCCATAATTTGGTAATATTATTATTATTATTATTATTCTAATTTAGCTTATTTAATTACAATTATTTCTTTTATAATATTAAGGGTGTTCGTAAATTAGATTAGATCGGGTTGAGACATTTTTTAGATCCAATTCACTCGTTCGGGTTGAAATTTTTTTCATCCCAAACAACTCTTATTAAATAATAAATCTAACTAAGCTAAAATATTTCGAGTGAGTATTAACTTATAATATTAATAATATTAAAAATTTTAATGTTAGTATTAACTTATAATATTAATAATATTAAAAATTTTAATGGATCAACATTTGCTATCAGATACGGACTCGGTAAATGATATAGTATCGACATGGGAAGGTTCAATACCTCGATAGAAATTAGATGGATAGATGGATGTTTAGAATGTCCTTTTATTATGAACTACACGTGGGTCTGTTCTCGATGACATAACTGAATGAGCTATGATGGGCATTGACATTTTGTGACTTGGGATGACGTCAAGAGATGTGGGTCATGTTAAATTGGGAACCTAGATGATGTTGAGCCAAGGTCGAGTCGAATGACTTGACCTAATGTAGAGGTCAAGTTGGTTGAGTCACAGAAGATTGAACATGTATGCATAGGTGTCGTGTGTGTATAAACAACCTTGGATTCTGCACAAGTTATGTTCGGTGGGCGAAGACAAACTTCGTCTTGGGTCTAACATAGCCACAAAGCCGGGCGAAAAATAAATATGGGGCTTGGATCTCTTCATGATTGATTGTGAGCCGGTTAAGATCACGATGCCACGTAGTTAAAAATTAAAATCAATTGAGATTTTAGTTGGAAAATTAATTTGATTACTTTATCATTAAAAATTGTGAACCAAAAGTTCAATTCTTCCCTTGTTTAGGAATGGAGGAAAATGTGAAAAAATGAAATTCAAAACGGAAGCAAGCTGAAGGTTTTAATTTGCATGGAGGACGTTTTGTTCATTGCATTTCACGCTTTCTCTTCTGCTTAATCTTTATTCAAATCTCATATATATGAAAATTGTTATTTAGCCTCCAACCCTTCGCGCCAGATTGGGTTGGGGGGCGATCCATCGGGCTCTAAACAGCTTCGCATTTTGTCATTCAATCTTTCGCTGTAAGTCTCTTCGGATCTGATCTAACCCTATTACTCTGTTTTTTTGTTGTTAATCTCTCTCCCATTGGCGTGTTTTTTTATGTTCTCATGTTAAATTTCCTTTACTTTTGGAGATGGGTATCGCTCTGTGCTGCTTAATTATGATTATTTTGTTCTGCGTGTTGTTGTATCGGAAGCTATTTTGAAAATTTTGCCTCTAGATGTTGTTGATTTTGGTGAAGAAATTACCTCTGATGAGTTTTGTGTTGTCGCTTGGTTGTCTTGTTAGTCGCATATAGATAGATATGGTGTTTTAAAGTTATAAAATTATATGGAATTTGTAGGGAGGAAAAATGGGATTGAATTGAGTTCTTGAAAGTGGGATTTCGAACTCAATTTTGAATCCCTGTAGAAGACTTGTTAAGAGATGATAATTTGGTCCACAGATTTGCGGTTGGCGTTTCTCATCTGAGCTGAGATCCAATTGCTTTCCTCCTGATCCTATAGTTTCTTCCTTGATCTTCTTTCTGGCTATTCCTCTTCAGACGCAGAATTTGCGATTACTTCTTTTTCCCTGCTGCTGATGAAACTAGAGCCTCTTCCTTAGGTGTGAGATCCCACATCGGTTGGAGAGAGGAACAAAACATTCCTTATAAGGGTGTAGAAACCTCTCCGGGTGCGATTTAAAAACCTTGAGGGGAAGCCGAGAAGGGAAAGCTCAAAGAGGACAATATCTGCTAGCGGTGGGCTTGGGCTGTTACAAATGGTATCAGAGCCAGGCACTGGGCGGTGTGCCTCAAGGATATTAGGCATCTAAGGAGGGTGAATTGTGAGATCCTACATTGATTGGAGAGGGGAACTGGAAAGGGGAACGAAGCATTCCTTTTAAGGGTGTAGAAACCTTTTCCTAGCAGATATGTTTTAAAAACCTTGAAGGGAAGCCCAAAAGGAAAAGTCCAAAGAGGACAATATCTACTAACTTGGGTTCTTCAAAAGCAACAGCTCACTCCCTCCCTATATCTTTTAGTCACGTTTCAAAGTTTCCTCAATCCCCACTTATGCTCTCCTTTCTGTTTGTTTTTTCTTTTTCACTCGTACCAAAACACGGTAGGATACGCATAAGGCCCTTTTAACATCATTGGATCTTAGTGTAGGAACTACACAACACGTTAGGGCATGAGAGTAATGGATATAATGTGGGGAGTTAATCATAAGGCCCTTTTACTAGTTCCTTTTGGTTCGTTTTTTATGGTTTTTGTCCGTCATTTCATTTGTAGGGTCTAATCTATCAATTACACATTCTTTTTGCAGAATATTTGTCTGGGACTGAGACAGGGAATGGTGTGGACGAAACTTTGTTGAATTCAATGGAGGCAGATGATTTGAAGAGTACCATGTTAACAATGAATCCTACAGTCATAGTTCCATCTCCTATTTTGTTATGGAGATCCAAGGTTTGAAGTTATTTTTCTAACAAAAAATGTACCACATCAAGTTTTTTATGTTATGTTCTTTTAAGAATTTCTCCTTTTGAAAAGAACTTAGCTTCAGGTGTCATATTTAAAAAATGTATCCACCATGTCTTCATTATGATCATTGATGCCGTGGGAACAACAAATTGGATTTTGAGTAATGGTTTCAACATTCAAGTCGTCCATGTTTAGAAAGTTACCCATATTTTCTTGCATTCTTCTTAATCTATTCTATGCTTCATTTGGAAGTAGTGGCAAAGATAGAAATTTATGTTTCTCTATAACTATCAGGACTTTGATTGCATAAATATATATATTGTTCGGGGATCTGCTCAATATCCCTGGGGAAGAAGCTATGAGTATCAGGACTTCGATTGCGGAAATATATATATTTTGAAATAAATTCTTCTTGACTTAACATTTTAGAAGAAGAGAGAGAGTTTTTCAAAGAGATTGGAGGGAGGAAGAGGGGAGAGTTCAATGGACAGGAAGGAAAAGAGAGAAGTAAGAGAGGATGAGGACACTTTGAAGAGAGAAACAAGTTGTGGAGACGGGGAAATTGTGCAAATTATCAATCGTTTGGTTCGAAACATCACGGATTTCCAAACTTCACATGGCACATTATTTTGTATGAATAATAATCCTTCATAATAAAAGGACTGCTAAAGATGAGATCAAATTTTTTTAAGAGTATAGTTTTGTGAATAAGGAATCTCTACTTCCTCTAAGAGAGTTTGTGAGATTCCACGCCGATTGGAGAGGATAACGAGTGCAGCGAGGACGCTGGGCCCCGAAGGGGGGTGAACTGTGAGATCTCACATCGGTTGAAGAGGGGAACAAAACATTGTTTATAAGGGTGTGGAAACTCTCTCTAGCAGACGCGTTTTAAAAACCTTGAGGGAAAACTCGAAAGGGAAAGCCCAAAGAGGACAATATCTGCTAGCGGTGGGCTTGGACTGTTACAAATGGTATCAGAGGCAGACATCAGGCGGTGTGCCAGCGCAGACATCAGGCGGTGTGCCAGCGAGGACGCTGAGCCTCGAAGGGGAGTGGATTGTGAGATCCCACATCAATTGGATAGAGGAATGAGTGTCAACGAGGACGTTGGACCCTGAAGAGGGGTGAATTATGAGATCTCACATTGGTGAGGGGAGCGAATCATTCTTTATAAGGGTGTGGAAACCTCTCTCTAACAGACACATTTTATAAATCGTGGGAGGAAGCTTGAAAGGGAAAACCCCACTTCCGCGAGCACTATAATATTAAAAATGGAATTAGAGTGTCTACATTTATCAAACTTAGGAATACATTGGATCCATAAGGACCAAAATTATATTTTCTCTTATTTTTTTGGACTCGCATGTAGAAGTTTTAATGCTGACCTAGTAATGTGCCTTCCTTTATTTTCTTTTGTTGCTTTTAATTTATTTTCTTTCCCCTGCTGTTTAGAATACTAATTACGATTAATGCCCAGGTTTTCTTGTTCATCTTCTGGGGTGTAGTTTGTTGCAAGGTTGGTTCTATTGGATCATTATGGTTTAATGGTTAACTGAGAATAGTAGTTTGTTGCAGATGAGTTGATCTGATTTGCTTGTCACCATGGTTTTGTTCGAATACAGATCGGCTGGGATTCTGTTATGCGAATGAGTGCGGACGTGCGCGACCTGTTTCTCTACGAGGCATTTTTGTATTATAATCCTCTTCTTCTGGTGGTGAGTGAATTTCTCCTCTGTAAATGCCTCTTGAGTATGTTTTTGACCATTTTTATCAATACTTTTGTATTATTACTAATAGACTTTTTAGTTTTGGTACTGCAGACTATGATGGTTTGGCTGTGGGGAATTAACTTATGGTTCTTTTCCCAGTCTAACGTTAATTACTCAAAGATATTTGAACTCGATCAGAATCATCTTACTCACCATGAAATTTGGAAGGTAAAAAAATCTTAGTCATGCACGTTCTTCGTCATTCAAAATCGTTCTCAATGCCATTATTGTATATTTTTCCCTATTATGACCTGCTATTTATACTTAGTGTACTGTATCTACTAACTCCATCTGTAATCGTGACTAAATTTCTTTTGTAGTGTGCAACATGGATGACTATTGTTGTCCCAACTAGCATGACAGCCTACCTTTATCTTTACTCTTGTGGAGAAGTATCACTAGCTGCATCACAACCAGTGTAATAGATACCCCTTCTTTTATTAGTATTTGACGAATATTTTTATGGCTAAATTATAGAAAACGTCCGTGAACTTTGTACTTTGTTTCAAAAATACCTCTAAACTTTTAAAAGTTTTAATGATACCCTTAAACTTTAAAAAAAAAAAAAAAAATCCAAAATATGCTTACCAGTAATTTTGGATGGGAAACGTTAGGACTTTTTTTCAAAAATACCCTAAACTTTCAAAAGTTTCATAAATACCATAAACTTTCAAAAGTTTACCCTTACCATTAGTATACGGCATAAACCATTGGTAACACATTTAAAAAATACTCTGAACATCCAAAAACTGCATTAATACCCTTAACCCTTTTAAAAAAAATTCTTTTACGGTTAGTTTATGGATAGAAATTGTTTATCTACACCAAATCGCCCCCCTCCATTCTCTCTCTCCTATGCTTCAATCTATAGCTTAACACTTCCCTGTTTTACCCTTTTTCCTCTCTTCTTCAATACCTTATTATTCTCCTTGAATTCCCCAATCTCTAAAATTACCCTTTCAATCAAGGTATATAGGTTTCAAGAAGAAAGGAGAATAAATGAAAACACCCAGGGACCTATTGGGACTTAAATGTTTTAACAAGGTTGTACGGTAAGGATACTTTTGAACTTTTTTTGAAAGTCTATAGGTACTATTGAAACTTTTGAAGGTTGACGAGTATTTTTGAAACGAAGTAGAAAATTCTATAGTTTAGCCTATTTTAATTTTTTGGAAATGCAATTAAGTTCATTTTTCGTTTTGAACTCGTTAGAATTGGCTTTTTGCAAGTTCTGTTGTATGATGCTTGTTGATTGCCAAAGTTATACATAATTACAGTTTTATTTATCACTTTGACATGGTAAACATATTTACTTAGACATGGAAAACATGTTTACTTAGATATGATACTTGCTTTGATATGGCTTCATAGTGCTGCCACTTTTTTTCTCCCTAACCTGTGAAAAATTTTAGTTTTTTCTTTTTTTTATGAGATGTGCATCACATAGCTAATATGCCTGTTGCACGCAAGTTTGCATTATGTTAGCTCTCAAGAATACTTCTTTATAGAATAAGGTATTAGCGCACTTTAGACGATGATTGTATTCCCATTACGATATGTAGATTTGAGCTGACTATCTTTTTATGGTTACTTATCTGTAGACGAAATGACATTAAGTTTATTTACTTTTCGTGCAGGTTCTCTTATATCTCGCTGTTGTGATAATTTTGGTTTTCCCTTTCGAAATATTTTATTTGTCATCTCGATTTTTCTTACTAAGGACTCTTTGGCGAATAGTTGTACCACTGCAGGTAAGTTTTCTGGTCAAGTCTGTTAAGGTGTAAAATACGGATTACTTTTTTTTTTTTCCTTTTCTAGCCTTGAAGTTGATGTTCAATGTTAGGAAAAGCTGACAATACACAACTTTTTAATGCAAATAAATGCATATAAAATATTCTTTGTCGATTCAAAATGTTTGTCGTTGAAATGAATATACTTTCTTTATTTTAAGGTCGAGTGTCATATGTATTTTTGGCTAAAATAGTTCCACGATCTTAAAGCCCAAAAGAGAAAGTCCAAAGAGGACAATATCTACTAGCGGTGGGCTTCGACTGTTACACATGAATTGTTGGAGTTAGGTTGCTATGGCTGGATGTTAATTTCTTAATGTTCTTCCAATGCAGGCAATTACATTTGCTGATTTTTTTGTAGCTGATATTTTGACTTCAATGTCAAAGGTTTGTACCCTGCTGTTCTTTAGTAAAAAATTTCCAAAATCTGTTGTTTGCTTATAAGAGTCGAAGTACCACAGGGCGGTTTTATACAAATGATTATGAGTGTTTTTCCATTTTCATGGATCATAGCTTAAGGTGTAAATGTCAAATATACGTACTCACCCTCGGGAATTCATGATCACAAACATCTAGTTTTTTAATACAAGCTATTTGGGCTGCAGGTGTTTTCTGATTTGGAAAGATCAGTGTGTCGAATGATTCACCGACAGGTCGGTTTTCTTCTTTTGTCTTAGCCTTAATTATTTATGTGGATTACGACCGTCTTTTCCTTCGATCACGTTTTAGCTTTCTTTTTAAAATGTTGATAACATTCCTACGTTTTTCAAACTGGTGGATGAAGGGGTTAAGAGATTATGCTATTATGTTTGCGAGTAATGTCGGTTCAAACTTATTTAGGTTGCCACCATTGCATGGTTTGAAGCTGATTCTGTCTGTGGAAGTCACTCTGTTGCAATCCCTGTGGTCCTTGTTTTGCCTTATCTTTTTCGTTTGTTCCAATGTCTTCGACAATACAAGGATACAGGGGAAAAAGCAACCCTTTTGAATGGTGAGTTCTCATGATTATTTTTGCGTCTCTATAAAACTCGATGTTTGTCTTAATTATGTATTTCTAATATGTATATTTTGCAAGAGACGTTTATGGAAAATTCTTGTTAAGGGACCCCAACGAGAAGCCATACGCCAGAACCATATCACGAATCTTTATGTGTTTCTATTTACCTTGAAAGAATTCTTCGATCTTTTTCGTAACTAGAGGATCTTCGAAAGCAAACACTTTCATAGGATTGATCGGTTAGAATCATCTATGCTCGGGGCTTCTCTATGGTGTTCTCTTTCTAATATCTTCCTTAGATTTTCCTTACAAGATTTGTTTGAATTGCGTAGCATTTATATTTCCTTTTTTAATTTTGTTTCTCTGTTTTTCTTTCGCTCGGGTTTCTGTCGTTTGAACATTAGTCTCTCTTCATTTCTTCGACGAACAGTTTCGTAATTTTTCTTATTTCTCAAGAACTACAGAAGAGGACTAACTGCTCGTATCCATAAGATCTTTTTCTTTTTTATGTTGGTTGATATCCACGAGCGTTCAGACCAGCTTGTGTGCATGACGACTGTTCACGAACTAAGCGTTCTATAGTTATGCATTTGAAAAACTTATTCAGCCCGAAAAAGATTTTTTTTCATAATCTCTCCAGTGCTCCAGTCTTGGGAGATGAAAGAAAGAATTAGATTTCCTTGAGCCCCTTCCCATCCCAAACTAGCTTCCGTGAATTTGTTTTTGTACTTATGCTTCAAATCTGTTGCTTGTCATGCCATAGTGATTCTATCTGCTTATCATTGCAGCTTTAAAATACTCGACTGCAGTACCGGTTATTTGTCTATCCGCCCTTAAATACCATGTCTTCCCTGATAGATGGACCAACGTTTATCGACCTCTGTGGCTGCTATCGAGTGTTATGAACTCGTCATACTCATTTTACTGGGATGTGAAACGAGATTGGAACTTGAGGTATGCTAGTTACCCTATGTTTTCTTTTCAGTTCTGCTTTTTTGTTCCCTCCTATAGTTGGGTTCCTGGTTGAAAATAAATATTTATATATGGTATTCACTTTCATAGCTTTTCGGTGAATTTTGGCCGTTTTGTAATGTCGTTCTGACTTCCGGGTGAGGGTGGTGGGTCGGGGAGGGGGACAGAGCGGAAGGGGGAACTTGGCGTTATTATAATAATCCATGTTAAAAGAGAATGTAACGGCTCAAGCTCACCACTAGCAAATAATGTCTTCTATGGACTTTCCCTTTCGGGCTTCACTTCAAATAAACCATGGCGTCCTAGACTTAGGTTAGAATAGATTGTTGTGCATTTCATGTTTTTGAATTTATTTCATTGTCGTTTTCTATTTTCATTTCTAAATTATGTTTTGAGCACGTAAGACTATGGCAATGTTTTGAAGAATGAAGTACGGTTATTCTGAAATTTATTATTTAAATGATGATGTTTTAAGAGTTATATTCCGTATATAAGCTTAGGAGATGATGGTAGCGGCTTTAGGTAGTCGAAATCTAGGATCCACGGTCTACTTGTGCAAGTGTCTGGAGAAATTCTTAGCCTGTAATGGTCCTGTGTTATGCTTACTTGTGTTTATATCTCATGACAGCACTTTCACCCGGATTTTCAAGTTCAACCGACCGCACTTCTTATCGCATCTCCTATATGGGCGGAAATGGGTAATGTTCTTGATTCGAACACTTGAATTGTTTTCTTAAGTCAGCCATAATCATCAATCTACATGGTTTTCTAATAAGATTCAATCCTTGTTGATTTAACATGGGACTTACGGGCTGCGTAAACCCGAACTTGGGAACGGAATAGTTTCTTATTGCTGAACTTTGTTAATGACCTTCCTTGTTGGCCACTTGGCTTAACATGTTTCAAGCATCTTTTCTGTAACAGCCCGAGCCTACCGCTAGCTGATATTGTCCTCCCTAGATTTTCCCTCAAGGTTTCTTTCACCGATATAGTTTCTGTGAGATCCTACATTGGTTGGGGAGGAGAACAAAACATTCTTTATAAGGGTGTGGAAACCTTTCTCTTGCAGACCATTTTGAAAACCTTGAGGTGAAGTCCGAAAGGGAAAACCCAAAAAAGACAATATTTGCTAGCGGTGGGCTTTGGGCATTACAAATGGTATCTGAGCCAGACACCGGGCGATGTACCAAAGAGGAGACTAAACACCAAATGGTGGTGGACACGAGGCAGTGTGCTAGCAAGGACGCTGGACTCCGAAGGGGGATAGATTGGGGAGTCCCACACCGATTGGAGAAGGGAACTAGTGCCAACAAGGACGTTGTACTCCGAAGGGGGGTGGATTGTGAGATCCTGCATTGGTCGGGGAGAAGAACGAAACACTCTTTATAAGGGTGTGAAAACCTCCCCTAGTAGATGCATTTTAAAAACCTTGAGGGGAAGTTCGAAAGGAAAAACCCAAAGAGAACAATATCTACTAGGGGTGGGCTTGAGCCGTTACAATTTCATTCATAAATGCTTCGTGCATTTCCTTAGATAACCAAGTTCTATTTCATTCATAAAGTTTTCGAGTTGTAATTCAAAAAACCACAAATAGATTACCCTCTCGACAGAAATATGATATCTATTTAGCTGGATTATATTGATTTATGATACTCAGGTTTATGTCTGGGTACTTGGAAGTAATCTGATATTCCGGTGTACGTGGACTTATAAGTTATCTGCTCATCTTCGCCACAATTATCTTACGGTCTTCGCGATCACTGCGTTAGAGATCTTTCGACGTTTCCAGTGGATATTCTTCCGAGTTGAAAATGAGTGGAGCAAGATGAACTTGAAGCCGAACGTACATATTTCAATGAGTACTCTCTCGACCGAAGAAGACAAGTTGCTCAACTCCAGTAGCCATGATGTTTAAGAACTTCATTGATTGTTGCATTTTTGTGTGGATGCATTTGTTTTGAATAATTGTTTCATTAGTCTATGAGGAGAGGTCCTTTTCCTTCACAGATGGATTAACATTTTTGAGTTCTAAATAAACATTATGGAGCAAGAGCATTGTTAATTATCCTATGCTACATGATAGCTGATTTATTGTCGTAATACGACTTTATCGCTCCCTTAATCATCTTTAGTGTAAGTTTGAATATTTGGTTGACATAGAGAAGGACCATGTTCAAGTAATAACCTAAAGAGATTATATTATATTAGATAAGATTGGGTGTCATTCCGGTTGAGACATGCGAGTCGAGGTATCTTATACAACGAGTTTGTATAACACGAATAATTAATTCTTTTACTAGAGATATCCACTTCAATGGTGAGGAGGGAATTTTCTATTTAGGAGAGTGAGTAACATATTTTTTATGTTAGATAAATAGGGTTGGAGACAAGATTATATTCCTCGTTCGTCTCCACCCAATTTCCTACCTCATTTAATATATATTTTCAACCCTAATTTTCAACTCGAACATCCAAACTTTTGATGAAACAAGAACTTAAGAGATGTCAAAACTTTCTAGGTTGGATTCATCGACACAAACACAATCTACCACAAGAATTGCATAAAAACTCGGAAATATCAAAACTTCATGCTTAAGAGATCGACCAAATGGGCTCGGGCCAAACTTTTGTGTGAGATCCCACATGGGTTTGGAAGAAGAACGAAATATATTTTATAACGGAAACCTTAAAAGAGAAAATTCAAAGAAGACAATATCTGATAGCAGTGGACTTGAACGATTACATTTTGGGTCAACTTTTCTAGAATTTAGCTGGATGTAACTCGGTGTACTTTGGGTAGTGTGTTAGGCTTGTGATAGGCCTAATCTTTTTTGACCTTTTATTAGGATATTATATCTTAAATTTGTATTGCCCAACGCATACATAATATGGTTAAATGTGCATATGAAGACATGATTTCTTAAACACGAAATTACCAATTTCCAACACATTGGTTTTGTCTTTTGTTCTGTCTTCTTTTATCTTTCTTTTTGTGGAAGCTTACCGACCGACCTATTGTGCAAATGACGACCACGGCCTCTTTCCAATTTAATCTCTTTCCTCATTTCAGTGGTCAAAAGCATTCATCTCCCCATTCCCCGACACATCGAGCCACAAATCCAACCATTCAAAGGGACACTCTGTCCAGTGTCTCGCACTGTCCAGTGACTAGCTCTGATACCATTTCTCAATTTGTGCGGTCTCACATCGATGGTAGAAAGAAACGAATCATTCGTTATAAGGGTATGGAAATCTCCCATTAGTAGACACGTTTTAAGACCTTGAGGAGAAATCCTCAAAGAGAAAGGCTAAATAAGGCAATCTCTACTAGCTGTGGGTTTGGACCGTTATATAACTAAAATTAATTTCAACGTTCCACTTTCACGATCATCGAGCAAGTACTAGAAAAATACCCTCCCATTTAAACTACTTTGTGTAGTTTTCTTTAACACTTTGTACGAATATCGTCGAGTTATCGAGATGACAGAATTAGGAGTCGTGAGAGATAGTAAAAGAGTGCATCCATTTCTGGTTACTCAATCACTCCCATTTGAGCTCAACAAGATTGTCAAAGGGTTGATCATTAGCCAAATTCTAATACTTTCTCTCGATCTTTAAGATTGATTTTACTCACTTAATCAACTTTCACGGAACTTATTGAAGCCTTGACCAACCCTTTGAGATTGATCGAGAGAACAACTTCTCGTGGAATTAATCAAGCTAACTAGGATTGAACCACGAAGGAGTTATCCAACTAAATACTCATAAATTAGCGAAACCTTTAAACAAAGTTGAAAGATATTAACGTAAACAAAATACAAACCATTTCAATCGAAGACGAAGATTAATTATCGAAAAAAAAAATCATTCTTAAATATTTTTATTAATGGAGCCGAAAAAGAAATAATGAAAAATGAATGTATTTCTTTTAAATTAAGTATTCGTTGAATAAGATGGCATTTGAGAGAGGGAGTGAGATTCGAAGCACGCGTTTCGGGGACAAAAACGACAAGAAATTACCAATTTCCAACACATTGGTTTTGTTTTTATGTTCTTTTTTTTTTTTGGTCTTTTCTTTTTGTTGGGCAGACGTCGGGCACTTTTCATTTTAATCTCGTCCGCTTTGTCTCATTACGTATGAATCTTGTAGTGAGAGGTTTCCACGTTCACCTCTTCAACCGATGTAGGTTCTCAGAATTCACTCTCTTTCAGGACCCAACGTTCTCATTGGCACATCACTCGGTGTCTACCTCTAATACCATTTACAAGAGCCTAAACCCACCACTAGCAGATATTGTCCACTCTGGCCTATTACGTATTGCTGTCAGTCTCACAACTTTAAAATGCGTCTGCTGCGGAGAGGTTTTCACACCCTTATAAAAAATGTTTTCGTTCCTCTCTCCAACCAATGTACGATCTCACAATCCACCCCCTTTCGTGACCCAATCTCACAATCCACCCCCTTTCGTGACCTAGTGTCCTCGCTGCCACACCACCCAGTATCTGTCTCTGATACCACACCCTTATAAAGAATGTTTCATTCTCTTCTCCAACTGATGTGGAATCTCACAATCCACCCCTCTTCATAGTCAAGTTTCCTCATTGGAAAAATGTTTTCGTTCCCCTCTCCAACCAATGTGCGATCTCACAATCCACCCCCTTCGAGACCCAGCGTCCTCGCTGGCACACCACCCAATGTCTAGCTCTATACCACACCCTTATAAAGAATGTTTCATTCCTCTCTCCAACCAATGTGCGATCTCACAATCCACCCCCCTTCATAGCCCAATTTCCTCGTTGGCACACCACCCTGTGTCTGGCTCTAATACCATTAATAACAACTTAAACCCACCACTAGCAGATATTGCCCTATTTAGCCCGTTACGTATCACCATCAACCTCACTATTTAAAAACACGTATGTTAGGGAGAGGTTTCCACACCCTTATAAAAAAATGTTTCGTTCTCCTCTCCAACCGACGTGAGATTTCACATAACCATATCACAAGAAAATTTTTAAGGTTATCAAGTGTCGAATCCAAATTCTGAATCTTGGACATGGATCGTTCCATATTCACCTAAAACTTGAGGATCAAATCGAAACATCCCATTAAAACTAAACCAAATTATATTAAAACCCTAATTTACATCTAGAAGTGTCAAACTAAGCACTACTATCTAGAAGATTGATTGTCCTATCTTCAAAAGAATCAATACCCAAAACAAGAAACAACATGTTCATTTAAAAGGAGGAGCCCACAGTTCTACCACTTGCAAATTGAGAGTTGCAAAAAACCAAACCAAAACTCATCCAACTTCATCCCCTCTTGGTGTGTTTTCATGTGAGAATCACTTTTCTAACAAGTGGATGACATCAATATTCTTTGTCTTTTCTCATATCATCAATACATATAAAACCCGACACAAATAAGATGAACACAAACAATTTTTGTCTAGAAAGATCTCAATATGTCTGCCAACACAATGTCAAGCAATCTCGAGAGAGAAACCTTTCGAGAATTCTTCGAAAATTGGTTGGTCGAGCAAAATCAATACCTGAGCGAACTCATTTCTTTAGCAAAAGCCAACGACGCCAATCCAACATGTTCGAACGACGTCGACATGCTAATCAAACGAGTCATGGAGTGTTACGAGCATTACTACAAGGTGAAATCCCATTGGATAGACCAAGATGCAATGGCAATGCTAAAGCCAACATGGATATCATCATTGGAAGACACATTCCTATGGCTAGGAGGATGGCGACCAAGCATGGCTTTTCACTTACTCTACTCGAAATCCGGTCTCCAACTCGAAGGTCGTCTTCCCGAGCTAATCCAAGGCCTCTCGACCGGAGATCTAGCCGACCTCTCCTACGAACAAATTATGAAAACCGACACGTTACAAAGGGCGACGATTAAGAAAGAGAGGGAAATAAGTGAAGAGATGGCGAAATATCAAGAGACAATAGCTGATCCATCAATGGTGGAGCTAGCTCATGTGGCGAGTGAGTCCAAAAGGGAAAGGGGAGAGTCATCGGGTGAGTGCATGACAAGAATGGAAGAGCAATTGACTGTGGCTTTGGAAAGAAGAGAAGATGGTTTGAAAGAGATAGTGAAAATGGCTGATGAACTAAGGCTTACAACGTTGAAGGAAATTCTTGGGATATTGACAAAATCACAAACGGTTCATTTTTTCATAGCGGCTGCGGAGTTGCACTTGAGGATTCATGAGTGGGGATTGCAAAGAGATTGTGGACGACGATCTAAGGAACCAAATTGATCCAAAAATGGTTTTGTTTTTGGAAAATAAAATGGTTTGATCTTGAAATAGTAAGCTAGGTATTGGTTTTGTTGTTTGTGTTGTGTTCTTTGTTGTCTCAATTCAATAAGTTCTCTTGTTGGTGGTGGTATGTAATTGTGTCATATGGCATTACTCAGTTTTTTTTAAAGGAGGAATTTGTTTAACCATGCACGTTTTTATCTTGACATGCTCATTTGGGTCATAACCTACTCTCTTCTTATTATAGTTGAGATACCCACCACACGTTGTAAGGGCTCATCACGTGAATTTTATGCTGTGATATCCTACATTGGTTGGAGAGAAGAACGAAACACCTTTTGGAAACCTTTCTCTAGTAGACGCGTTTTAAAGTCTTGAGGGGAATCCTAAAAGAGAAAACTCAAAGAGGACAATATCTGTTAGTGGTGGACTTAGGTTGTTACAAACGATATTAGAACCAGACACTGAACGATGTGCTAGCGAGAAGGTTGTTCCTCGAAGGAGGTAGACATGAGGCGGTGTGCCAATAAGGATGTTGGGTTGTAAAGGGGTGGATTTGGCGGGGAGTCTCACATCGATTGGAGAAAGGAACGAGTGCCAGCGAGGACGCTGGGCTCTGAAGGGGGTGAATTATGATATCTCATATTGGTTGGGAAGGAGAACGAAATAACCTTTATAAGGGTGTGGAAACTTTTGCCTAGTAGATGTGTTTTAAAGGGAAGTCAGAAAGGAAAAGTCCAAAGAAGACGATATTTGCTAGCAGTGGGCTTGGGCTGTTACACATGCGCTCGTATCACGCACGTAACAAGGATGTACTTGTAGGTCCCCAGATAGTCAAATTGGATCAGAGCTTCAATTTTAGGTTGTGAATCGGGTAGGGGTTGCATGTGAACCAACGCCCCTTTGAACCATATGCAGCACATATTAAATCTGAACTTTTCGTCGTCCAATCCACAATCGACACGTGTCTTTTCTTTCTTCTCTCTTTTTTCCCCCATACTCAACACTCTAGTTAGCCGGGTTCCAAATGATGCATACTCTACATGGTCGGTGTGTATGAAAGTGATAGTCACTTATGTATGGATATGATGCATACCCGACAAGAACTAGAGAATAGTAAAGCGATACTCACTTACGAGACAGTACAAGAGACCAGATGGGACTAGAATTTATGAGACTACGAGATGAGGGGTATAAATACAGTCAGGGCCCCGATAAGGTCAATCAAGTATGAGTAGTGTTTAGTCAGAGGGTGCAAAGGCCTATAGAAGCTCAATTGAGTTGTGAAAGTTAACCATTATTCCTAGACCGTCGGGTCGGTCGGGCCGAGATGTGGTATTTAGCTAAGTATTGGATTTGATTAAGAGACCTAAAATTTAGTGTAAAATATAACTATGGATTGAAATCTAACGAAGAACAAAATTTTAGCAATGGAAAAGATAACAAAGATGGTATGGTGTTGGCAACATCTCAAAAGGCAGTCGATATCGTTGCTAGCAGATACCACTCGCTCGCGCTCTCACGGCAATCGTTTAGCCACAAAAGTGCAGATGCAGAGTAGATCACACGAAGAGGGAGATGGCAGAATTTCCATCACTGTAGCTCCTTACCAATTTCTTCAACGATTGCCTCAATTATTGATTCTTGCAACAGGTCCATCTCTTTTACCTTTTGCTTTTTCTTTGTTTTTACTTGCACATCATTCTATGGAATCTCACTTTGTTGTCGTTTCAATGCCGCTTCAACTAATTAGCATTCTATTGCCGACTTTATTACCTTTTCTGCGTGGTTTTTGATCAGGAGTTTGATGAGCTATCTTCGATAATTGTGGGAATGGGAATGGGAATGAGGAACATTCTGTTTTAGTTGTAATGTGCGGAATTCTGGTGATCTAGTGCTGTAAGTCCATAATTATTATTCTTCAGTTCGAGATTTCAAGTTCATGGCACGATAAAATTGCTCTGGTGTAGGGATTTTTCTTGTCGACGAGCACTATTGTGGCGTTTGGCTACATTAGTGTTTGGGTAAAGATGACGAAAATATATGTTCGTTGAGGCAGTATGGAACTGATGGTCGATTCTTAAACTACTGATCGTATCACTTGTTCAGAATTCGTCAGTTATATCAGGGGAGCAAGATTGTTATGTCTGAATTGGCTGATTGTTGGGCTTATCGAAGTAGAATGATTGAGTAGTCCAAGGACAATACTAGTTTATTTAACTCTTTTGTACTCCATAACTGATGAAATGGGAAAGGAAAATTTGTTGCAGTGTGTTGATGAAAATGCTGAAGTGAATGGTTGTTCAACAATTGGGAATGATGAAGATTTGGGTGCTCAGTCTCCCCATAGTGTAGGCAAGGAATTTGGGGCAAGTTGTCGTGTGTGTCAATGTACTGAATCGGACAGAAGGGGTGATGCTGCCTTAGGATTTCTTGGCATCACTTCTCCGAAAATGGAAGCAAGAAAAAACGACGGGGATTCTAAGGCCGAGAAGCAAAGTGTAAAAAATGTTAAAAGGGATTCTGGTTCAATTGAGTTCATAGGCCCTAATGGGGAGGTTTTCATTTGCAAAGCTGATATTGAAATGGGTTCATATCATTATGAAGATGCATTAGTCAAGCTTGGATGTTCTTGCAAGAGTGACCTTGCTCTCGTACATTATGCGTGTGCTCTCAAGTGGTTTGTCAATCATGGATCTACAGTTTGCGAAATCTGTGGATGTGTTGCAGAAAATATTAGAACTGATGACTTTAGAAAGGTTGTTAATTCTTTGAAGGAATATGAAGCTTTAAGGGAAAGAACTGTTAATGGGGAACCTAATCCTATGCATACTAATATCGGTACTGATATAGATCCTGATGCTGTTGCTGCCATCCGCAGGCAGCGACTTTGTGAAATCTCGTTGTGGTTTAGTCCTCATAATTATAGTAGCAACAATAATTCTACTGCAGCCTCCCAGGTTGCTTCGGAACATCCGAATATCATCTTGGAAAATGTTATTCATGCTGAAAATCCTGCAACCAGATGGGCTGTTGAGGGTACTGGAATTCTCCTTGCTACTGGACTGCTTACTGTTACGCTCGCTTGCCTAATAGCTCCTCGTCTGGGGAAGGTAAGTCTTAATAGCTATCTTATATTATAATAATTAATATAGATTATTCTTATAAAAAAAGTTCATTTAGAATTTTCTTTTTCAACATGGGAATTCAGAGTACTGGGAATTACTGAAAAATTAAGCTTCTCAGTAGGCCATACTTGAGTATCATGCCTAATGACACTACATAAGTCGGACGCTACTGTCCTTGTTTTCTTATTAAAAAAACTAATGCCTAGATCATTTATTAATTTGGCAGTTCTTATTTTGGGGATTTGACCACAAAAATCTACATTCTGATTAAAAATTTCATTCCTCAGCCTCTTTTGAAACACTAAGACTATGGAATCCTAGGCTTGGGACGTTACAAATATATAATGAATGATAATACATTTTTCTTTGATAGGAAACAATTTCATTTGATTGATATGATAAAATTAATAAAAAAAAAAAAAGCCTATCCATGAATTAAAAGAAACTTGTCTATTGCGCTATAATATAATAAACCGTAATTTCAAGAGGGGATTCAACTTACACAACTAAGAAAAATAATGAAATGTGTTTATGTCGTCCATGTAAGCTTTGGAGCTTCATTAAATTTCATCTCCTTAATGAAGTTGCTTCTTATCAAAAAAGAAAAAGGAAAGAAAAAAAGAAAAGAAAGCAGGAATAATATAAAAAGGAAAAATATGACTTTCGGAGTATTTTTGTCTTCCTTTTCTCTAATGTGATATCCTTTTGGGTTTACTTTGATTGTGCTAGACTTTTTCTCCATATCTTGAAAAAAAAATTATTTGGTGCAGAAAACTGCGAAAAGTGGCCTTTGCATTCTTCTTGGAGGAGTTTGTGCGTTAGCCGTGGTTGTTTTCTTCCGCTTTGTGAGTATAATGCATTTTATACGGCCCTGAAGTTGATTTTCTGGCAATGCTTTATTATAGGAAACAATTTTATTCTTTAGTAATGTATAGAGGGTCTCACTCAAAGGTTGCTAGGCAGTATACAAAAAGCTTTCCGATTGGCCATAATTTAAAATGGAAGAAAACGAGAGGAATAAAACTAATGGAATTCTTAAGCCATAAAGAGGTACGGGATTTCTCTCATACGTTGTCCAAGTTACAGTTCGAATCTTTAAGATAGTGTTGATTCTTAGCAAAGAAAATCTCCCTGAAAGTAATAAAAGGAGCAGTTTCCTGCATATAACATTGTGGTGATTGACAACTTCTGTTGATTCTTGGCTAAGTATTTGGTGAATTTTTCGTTAATGCAATTTATTGAAAACATTACTGGGCTCCCTTTGTAATTCATATATGCTAGATGTGCAGGGAGGCAAACCATAATTAGCTTACAAGTAACTAGTCTGCCCGGGATATTTCTGCATTTCTATAACTGATGCCTACCAAGGTTGGTTAGGAACAGAGTGAGATGGGGGAATCTATAGGTAGCTGGATGGAGGGAGGGATACAATACCCTACCCTTGGCATAGATTTTATATGCTTTCCTAGGAAGGTCGTCGCTGGCTTTTACAGTGAAGACATTTCATAACGTTTCATGGTTCAAGAAATGTCAGAATATTCCCAAAGAGATAGACAGGACAAAAATTTGTTTGGGTTCTAGCTTTATGTTAGTTAAAAGCATCTTTTAAAACTATGATAAAAACCATTTGCAATGATATGGCCAAGGATTATTTTTTGGAATTAGGGAGCAAGTATGTGAACGGTCTGGAAAACAAAGAGGAAACCAGGGAGGTACTTAAGCTTTTTATTTCTTAATTTCTTGATTATTAAGTGTCTTTGACCCCACCCAACATCCACTCCATTGGATGAGGACTGATTTACTCACTATAATCCTGCTGAAGGGTATTAGAATAAATGAGGAACTGCTAGAGCCATTTAGTTAGCAAGGTTTTGTTGCGAGTCCTTTCGACCCCGATCGGAAACCATATTTTCGTTCAGGTTTTGTAAGAGGACGTTTTATTACTGTCAGATTTCTCATTTTTTTTTCATTTTGAACGTTTCTAATTTATATATAAATTTTGGAAACATCAAATCTAATTTCTCCAATATAAACTCCAATGCTCAGCCTTCTGACTTCTATTCCTTCCATTTATGTAGTTTGTGCTTACCAGGATAAAATACAGTCTTGCACGATATTGGGCTATTTTGTTCATCTTTTTGTTCCTGGTGTTGTTCGGCATTTGGGCATCGAGGACGCATAGTGCTCATACGACGTAATTCGGTACATTATGTACATTCTATTTGATCTTTTTTTCCATTCTCCACTTTATTAAGGCGATCTCACAAATATAGAATTGTTCAGTACTTAGTTAAGGTACCAATATCATGAAATATATCCTATAGGGTTTTGATTTTATGTTATGTTTTAGGTTGTCTGAGTATGAAGTTGACATTGGGAAAGGTATTTAAGTATTCGACAGGATACAAAATACCCTTTACCTCTGTTTCCTTGCATCAGAGCTCATTTTTCATTTGTTAAAAGGATTTTCAATTCTTTAAAAAAAAAATTGGTAAATTTTTCTCATGAAGAAGTTCTGGTTGTATATGCAAAAATAAATAAATAAAACAGTCCAGATCCGTCGTCGCTAGCAGATATTGTCTTCTTTGGACTTTCTCTTTCTGACTTCCCTTCAAGGGTTTAAAACACATCTGCTAGGGGAAAGTTTCCACATCCTTATAAATGGTGTTTTGTTCTCCTCTCCAACCAATGTGGGACATCACAGAAAAATTGAAACATATTCTAACATGAAACGTATTCTAACTGGGGGATGAAATTACTTCAAGGCTATTAATTAATTTTTGGTTGCTAGTAGCGTGATTATCTACTTTTATTTCGACTTTGTTTTTTAAGAATGTAGTACTTGGGACGCTGGCCCTCAAGGGGAGTGGATTGTAGGACCCCACATCGGTTGGAGGGGAGAACGAAGTATTCCTTATAGAAGTGTCGAAACCTCTCCTTAGTAGACATGTTTTAAAATTTTAAGGGAAAGTTCAAGAAGGAAAGTAAAAAAAAAAAACACTATCTACTAACAGTAAACCAGACTGTTACATTCACAATGGAGGTGGTCTGTGTTGGTAAATATCACCTCTAGTAGATTTTTAGGCGGAGTTAACTTGAATGATTAGTGCATGTTTGAGACAAAGGATTGAAGTGAGTCAACATGGTTAGAGGATATGTCATAGAGGAAATGTTGGATATTATTGTGCTACTTCAAACATCATTTGATACATTATAAGGATTATTGAACGAGTCTTTTCAAAATAAGTTTACTTCCTCAACTTGAATATAGTTTAATTGTTTAAGACATATACTATTGACTTAAAGATTAGAGATTTGAATATCATCTCCCATATATCGTTGAATTTTCAATGGTAAATCTACCTCAAAATGAGTACTTTAAAATCATAGTTATTGGATGGTGTGATGATCATAACAATGACCGTTGGTTGATGCACCATGCAGTGTCCTACATGACAATGGGTAAGTGGGTGTGTATTTGTCATGTTAAGTTGTGTTCATATTGTCGGATACACTCTCGACTCGTGTCAAGGTTGAGTTTTTTCTATCTATAGTGGTCTAAATTCAAAAGATACACACCCAGGATGTCCTCGAATGAGTGTGTGATTAAAGTACTCAAATTTAATACTAGTTGGTTGCTTGTTTTCAATTGTAGAGGATCGAACCATCCATCTTAACTAGATAAATAGTTATCAAATGGCACATTTAGGCGTTTAAGACTATTTTCTTTCACCAAATTTGAGATAATTTTTTTCCTTAATATTATATTGAAAAATATGAACTTAAAGTCAGCATATCATATATTTGCATATAACATTTTCATCAATATTGACATTTTTTTTTATAATATATGTACATTAAATTTTCAGAAGATAAAAACATATAAACGAAAATCATGAAGTCTTAAGAACCATTGCCTAGAGATTGAACAACCGAACAGAATGAGGAACGTGCTTCTCGTGTGGAACTCGAACTCGATTATAAAATAAACTTATGAATCATTTCTCTAACTTCTTCGATCACAAGCCAAGCTTTATGCCCTCCAATCACTTCCGCTTTCATTTCTCCATCCTTCCAAAGCTAAAAAAAAGTAATTTTACAACAAATTTCAAACACCTTATTTGTCCCTCTCTCGACGTAAAAAGTCGAACAGCGTTTCAAGTTACTCAACAAGACTCGAAAATAATAAAGAACTACTCAACGAGAGTCAAATATTCAAAATGTTTCGCGAGAAAGCACTTCTAGAAAAGCTTTTGACCCGAGAGTTTCATCAAAAAACACTTTCAAACGATTTTAAGAACGTAAAACCAACACCCGAAACTATTTAAGGTTGAAATGACATCGATAATCTAAAATTTAAAAAATAAAATAGATCACCTGAATTGTTGGCATTTTCTGCATAATAGAAAATATATAAATTAATAGCTTAAAAAATGAAAAGGATAAGTAAAAAAAAAAAATATAAAAATACTTACAGAGATGTTTCCACGTTTAACTAGAGATTGAGGGACCTTATTCACATCCACATAGTAAAATTTCACTCTGCAAAAATATTTAATTTTATTGAGAAAAGTTAGTAAATAATTAAAATAATTAAATTAAATAAATAAAATGTTAAAATAAAATAAATAATAAATGTTACTTGGTAAGATAATCAGCACCAAGTTTCTCCAATTTAGGCTTCAAGTAGATGCATTTCCTACACCACGTTGCCATCCTATTCCCCATTCATTCCAAATATTCCATTAATAATATTTATACACCCTTATTTTATTTCAATTTAATTACATAAATAACTAACACACTCTAATTTAATTCCACGAACAAGGGTATATTTGTAATTTGTCAATCCCACCGCTAGCATATACTATCTTCTTCTGGGTTTCTGCTAAGGCGAACGTTTCACACCCTTATAAAGAGAACGCTTTCTTCTAGGTTTTTGGACGAAACCAGGTACTCACACCTTTTTTTTTTTTTTTTTTTAATACCACTTTCAAAAATAATATTAAAAATTTAAATAGATAGTTTTCATTTATATAAGACTTTTTTATAAATCTAAAGAGTATTAATCCTATTTTTAAAATTTAATAAATATTTTTTAATTTGAAACAAAGTTTTAATCTAAAATTAATATTAAATTTTTTTTAGATTTTTTTTAATATTAAATGATATTATTCAAACTTTTTAAAAAAATTAAGGGTATTTTAGTAATTTAGTTAAAAATAATAATAATAAGCTAATTAAGCTAATGGGGTGAAATGACGATTAAATCCTTTCGAGATAAAAGAAGGAAGAGATGCGAACCAGTCGATAAGAACCGGCTGAGACAGTTCCTGGGCGTGAGCCAAAATCCGATCAAGCTGCTCGGAATCCTCAATGGACTCCATCTCCACCATAGCCGGCCGGGACAGATCCGGCCAAAACCCAGCTTCCGTCCCCATCCTGAACTCCCTCCTCCGCAGCCTCCGCTGCTCTCCATTTCTCCGGCCAAATAAAACAGACCCAAAATCTCTGTTCACAAAACACCGCCTCGCCCCATTGCTCGCAATTTGGTGTTGATTATGATGAACTTCGCTGTACAGAATCTGAGCAGTGCTCGCAGCCAACACAGACATATCTCTAGATCCTCTCTTCTTCTTCTCTACGAGGTCATGGCTTCGATCTGTGAAGAGGGGGTTTTTCTTTTACTTTTTTGATGTTTTTTGGGGTTTGGGATTGAAATGGGAGCGTTTTGGGAAGGGCTTGGCTTATCCATAGGGTGAATTGGGGGCCACACGTGGGAGGAGGGGAAGGCATATCCATCCAATCAAATTTATTTTTGTCACTATTTCTTAGTATTATAAATTTAAATAATATGGAGATTTAATTCTTTTTAAAAAAATATTATTCTAGTAGATATTCGCTAGTGGATCGTATTTCAATCTTTGAATCGAGGTCGCATAGCAGCTTTCGATTTTGTCTGTGAGTTCGACCAAATAATAGGAATTTAGGTTGTAAAAGAAAGGTACCAACCCCCCCGGGGTGGTAGCCCTAGCTTTTGCCTCTATCAGGGGGGTGGCAGCCCCAATTCTCCGACACATAGGAAGGACACGGTGGGAGGAAAGCAGCCCTAAGTTTAGAAGCAAGTTAAGCGGTAAGAAAACCTCTATCCATCTGGCATTGGGGACTACTGTCTTTGGATAATCTATTAAATGTTGGTTAAGAGCGGAGGATATAGGTTGTTTAAGATGTGAGAATCATTAGTTTCTTTTAGTCATTTCTCTTTCGTCAAATCATCGAAAATGGGATCAACAAGCAAAGTCAGGTTGGAAATTGAATTGACAGATCATGAACCCAAAGTTCATGGTGTATGCGAGCTAGAGATACAAATCAGGAAACACAATGGTTGAGACCGAAAGAAAAAAGGAATCAGGGAAGACTATTTACCGGCGGTATCTGATGTTGCGTGTCACAACCTCACTAATAATACAAGTAAGGTGTGACCCTGACAAAGTGGCGACCCTCAAGTAGCTCATTCGCCCACGTGAGAGTCAAGATAGATGAAAGTGTCATGATGTGATAGAAAATGACAGTGCATCATCCAACACAACAAGAAGAGTGTGCATCGAAGTCAAGTTGAGACATAAAAAAGGTTGAAGAGAACAAGGCTACACGAGTGTTTAAGACAAGCTTGGAGAAGGATAAGTAAAGTCCCCGACCATAACCTCAGAAGTCGGAGTTTCGATATGAGTCTTGCATGACTCTAGGGTTAAGTTTGTTTATATGAAAGATTAAAACTCGTCAAATTTGGTGTCAATCGAATATCCTACGAATGCTCTACAAGGTCATATGACTACTTGTTAAAATGATGTCTACTCAAGAAACATTAGAAATGTCTCAAAATGTACCATAGGGGGAGACATAGAGTCAACTTTCTACACCCTTGAGCCCTGTTACTTAAGTAAGTTACTCTATGACACATACATTATCACAGTGTGGGCGAACGTTGCAAGACGAGCATCTCAGGGGACTTTCTTTGAAATAGGTCTTTCAAGGACATTGTCGAAAATCACGGGTGTGCCGAAATTACGCCCCAACTCATGTGTTAGAGGTTGATATATGCACCTGATATTCGGTAAGGATTCCTAAATGATTAGACATGGACATGTAGCCCAAATAAATGGATGTTCGGAATGTCTCAATGACATAAATGACACATGAGTCCATTCTCGATGAGCATGATCAAGCGAGTTATGATGGTCATTGACATCCAAGTACTTGAGATGACATCAAAACATGTGGGTCGTGTTAATCGAAAACCAAGATGAGAATATGCGATACAATGTTGCATACAAGCGACCTTGGTTCCGAGTAGAGGTAAGGTCGAACCAAGTGACTTGCCCTAGTGTAAAGGCAAGTCAATTAGGTCGTAGATGATTGAACATGCATGCACAAGTGGTGTGTGTGGGCGAACAAATTTGAATTCTGCACGAGTTGTGTTCGATTAACTAAGAAATCTCGCTTAAGGTCCGACAAAATCACAAAGACAGATGAAAAATGTATACAGGGGATTTGAGTTCCCCTTACGACTTGTCATGATCAAGTTAAAATCATGACGCTACACGGTTGAAAATGTACGATCGTGACACTATGCTTGACTAACGGAGGAGGAGGGAGATAGTAATACATTATTTTCAAACGAATATTGCAAATAGTAATAATAAGGGTCCATTATTTGTCCACATTATGGAAGCAATTTCTAGAAGCCTCTAATTTCCCGGATAAAACCCACTTCAACTGCTGGAGCTGCTAGGGTTTATCTTCTTCCTTCTTCTCTAATCTTCTAATCCCTTGGAGCCGCGGCTCTCTCTTCATCTTCAGGTGCTCATCCTTTTCTCATTTCTATTTCGTTATCTGTTTTCTTTCGATTTTTCTTGATTCTTCATTTCTGTGTCCGAGCAATGTGTTTTCACTGCGCATTGTAGCATTGTGGACATTGAATTTGCTTGGATTCACTTGAAATTGAGCATTTCTTTTCGCACCAATAGGATTCTTTTCTAATCATTTATCTACCTGTTTTCTGGATTTTTCTGGGTGTTTTTGTGGATAGAACGTGAAATGGCGGCAGCTCAGCTCACAGGATCTCTAATTTCTGCGAAGAATCTGCCTTCTTTCAATGGGCTTCGTCCTTCTGCGGTGAAATTCTCTCCTTCTATCGCTCATATGATAGTGGGGGGTCGGGCCAACAGATCTTACACTGGCTTGGTTGTTAGAGCTGCTACTGTGGTTGCTCCAAAGGTTTCACAACATCCATTCTTCTACACCTTATCATCTTCTCTTTCTTTTCTGTTTCATACAAGGATATGCCACTTATATTTGCAAATTTGAAATGCATTAGCCAATTTTAATTTTTTTTTTTTTGTTTTGAGCTCTACGTCAGTGAAATATGCTTCTTCACAGTATATTTCTAATTTTTTCTGCATTTTACTTGAATGGCTGCTTCTGCATTCCCTTCTTACTGCTTCCACGCATCTAACTTCCCGTCTCTCGGCATTTTGTTGTCCATTTTTAGTGGTTGATATTTCGTTTTTCATTGTGAGATCCCACATTGTGTGTGGAGGAGAAGGAAACATTCTTTATTAGGGTGTAGAGACCTCTTCCTAACAAACGCACTTTAGAAACCTTGAGGGCAATGTGCCAGCGAGGAGGCTGAGCCACGAAGGGGGTGGACACGAGGCGGTGTGCCATCAAGGACGCTGGCCTTGAAGGGGTGGATTAGGGGGTCCCACATTGATTGAAAAAGGGAACGAGTTCCAACAAAGAAGTTGTGACCGAAGGGGGTGGATTGTGAGAGCTCACATTGGTTGAGGAGGAGAACGAATCATTTTTAAGGGTGTGGAAACCTCTTCCTAGCCTACTCTTTTAGAAACCTTGAGAGGAAGTCTGAAAAGGAAAGTCCAAAGTGGACAATATTTGCTAGCGGTGGGCTTAGCCCGTTACACCATCCCTCGTGGCTGATATTTTGTCTTTCATAATCTGGTGTAGTTACATAATTACAATAGTAGCTGCTAGCAGTGTGTATGTATTGTGATGGGTAAGTTTTAATTCAATGAAACCAGTATGGGTGCTTAAACAAACAGCTATTAGTTTCTGGTGGTGTGCATTTCATGGTGAAGATGGTTATCTGAGTCCATCTATAAGAAACTTACTCTGGTTTGTGAATTGTTATGTTTCAGTACACTTCGATCAAGCCATTGGGCGACAGAGTGTTGGTGAAGATAAAGGAAGCTGAAGAGAAGACTGATGGAGGGATTTTACTTCCAACAACAGCTCAGTCGAAACCTCAAGGTGGGGAGGTTGTTGCTATTGGAGAAGGCAAGTCAATCGGAAATACCAAAGTGGAAAGTAGTGTAAAGGTACGAATTTCTACATGTTTGGAGTGGCTTTTGATCTTCTTATGCTGTTAATTGATTCAATGCTCTTCTGATTCGGTAGACTGGTGCTCAAGTTGTGTACTCCAAGTATGCTGGAACTGAGTTAGAGTTCAATGGTTCAAAGCATCTTATTCTGAAGGAAGATGATATCGTCGGTATTCTAGAAACCGATGATGCGAAAGATCTTCAGCCCCTAAACGACAGGGTCTTGATCAAGGTTCGTCTCCCTTGGATACTTCTCCTCCATTTGACAACCATTAGGCTTTCTGTTCTTCGCTTTTTTAAAATTATGCTTAATAACGGCTTGTTATCTACTTACAAATGTTTTCAAAATCGAAGGTAAATTTTGGAACAAGCAGTGTGAGATCCCACATCAGTTGGGGAAGAGAACGAAACATTTTTTTTTTTAAGGGTGTGAAAACTTCTCTTTAGTAGACTGCATTTTAAAAACTTTGAGGGGAAGTCCGAAAGGGAAAGCCCAAAGAGGACAATATCTGCTAGCGTGGCTTGGGGCTGTTATAAGTAGTTTTAAAAAACTTGTTTTTGTTTTTGATTCAGATACATAACCCGGACTTTAGACACAACAAACACAATTTTCAAAAACCCAATGGTTATCATATGGGGCCTTCTTTCTTGGGTCGATCCCATAAGACCAGATAGTCAGAACATTCGAATGTGCATGTTTTAGAAGCTTGGCGCTGGCCTATCTAGAAAATCTTTCTGATATAATGCCATTGACATGTTTTTATCATATTCCAATTGTTTTTCATCCTTCTCCTAATCTAAGAACGAAAAAGTAATATTGATGTGGAGTATGGGAGGCATTATGAAGCAGCTAATTGAGTATAACATTCTTCTCCATCGGCCTCGGCCTCGACATGGTTCAAAGAAACATGAATTATAACAGAAATGTAATACTTGTTCTTAAATTATATCTCAGGTGGCTGCGGCTGAGGAAAAAACAGCAGGAGGTTTGTTGCTGACAGAGGCATCCAAAGAGAAACCGTCGATCGGAACGGTCAGTAAGCGTGTGAATCACGCCCTTCCCTTCGATTCATTAGAGATTCATATCAGCTGTGATTGACTTGAAAATTATGGTTTACTCAGGTGATAGCAGTTGGCCCTGGTCATCTGGACGAGGAGGGCAACAAGAAACCGCTTTCGATTGCAGCGGGAAATAACGTTATGTACTCGAAGTATGCTGGGAACGAGTTCAAGGGCAAAGATGGGTCTGATTACATCGCTTTGAGGGCTTCAGACGTGATTGCAATTCTATCTTAGTTAGTTGTATTTAGTCTGTGATTGGTTATATAAAAACTCATG